CAAATACGGATTGTACGGATGTCGTCGATACGCGTGGTCTTCTTCTGGACGATGACCAGGTCTCGCGAATCGCCTCACGACGGTGGTTCAGACCACCAGGTGCGTGAAATCCACTTAATATTTTCACCATGTTCGGTTCTCTTTACTACGCGTGTACCGCCGTACCGCCGTACCGCTGCTCTACCCAACGATGAATTCTCTCCTCGATAGATCAGAATTGTGAGAAACCACTACCCCTGAGTCCAACTGGCGAGAACGCTCGTATCCTCGGTACCGACAGCCATAAATTACAGTTGATGAAAGCCAGTTTTTTCGACGGTAGCGACGAAGAGATTGCTGGCGAGGTCTACGATCGAGGCAAGTCCCGAGATTCTGTTCAGATTCATCGCGTTTGTTTGTCGTCCAATGATTTCGTTCATCGAAACGCCGTTCACTGAAATACTTTTGTCAATTTAGAATCAAATTGCGCGTTCTATCTCTCTGGCCGTAAAAATTCTTCGCGACATTTCCTCGTCAACGGTGTGCAAAAGTTGTTAGACGAGGATCAACAACAACAACAACAACAACAACAACAACAACAACAAAACTACGAGCCAATTTATAGTCCAACGTTACGGTCAAATTTGACGATTCGTCGTCAAACGGCAACGATTGCCTACGAAGAACCGACACTTTCCAAAATAGGTAACGTACGACGAGTCTGTCGATAGCACACGCAGCAACAATTATATTTTACTCGCGTTTTCTTACACGAACAGAGCAAAGAGATTGATTTCTGCCGTAGATTCCAAGTTGAAACGATGTTCGACGAACGTCGTTGCCAAGACATCGACAATGTACGAGAAAGGTTTGCCAGATCCGTCGATAACTCCGGTGACTACAATTCTTCGATACGTTTCCGAAGTGATTCCGTTGTCAAAGTCCGTTGTACGTAAACTGGAGTCTCGTTCCATCGCTGACACTGGTACAACAAATTATTTTATTCTCTATTTTTTGACAGCAAGTGCGAAGCCTGCTCTTCCACTGTTTATTTATTTATTTATTTATTTATTTATTTATTTACTTACTTACTTACTTACTTACTTACTTACTTACTTAGGCATACAAATGGGAAGAATGTTCAAACCGAGCTGGGGACGCGGTTTGACATTACTCACATTGAGTACGAAAAAACAGGCCGACGATGTGCTGTTGAACAATTCGTTCGAACAAATCGGATCTTACGTGTGCGGTCGTTCTCCGGAAGATGCAACGTCCGTCGCGATAGTCCAACGTATACAAATTTTGGGTAACGGCGGTAACGGAACCGGCGGCGACGAACGCGTTAAAACGTTCAAAGTAAGTAAAGTAACGTCTCAGTTCGTTTCAGTCGCGTCGCTCTCGCGTCGTCCAGATATTTTCGATCCAACTTTTTCTTCAACGTTCGTTCCTTGTATCGTTCGTGCCGTTCAAGGAAAGTATAGAGGGACATTTGAAAATTCAATTGTCGCATCGCGTGGTAAATCAAGAAGGAGACTGTTTAATCTTCGACGTAGACAAAGACGTTAACAAGGCGAGCGTAGCTTTACACGCGCATTGCAGTTTGGCCGAGGAATTTGCGGAGCAGTTTGCCGCAGATTCTTTCGCCTCGTACGTCGCCAACGTTTGGAAACTCTGCGCAGCTCTTTGGGGAACTCTGCCGGACGTGAACGTCGCCGCAGGTAACAACAAGATCGCTCCATCCTTCGTACGTGACTCGCGCGACTCTCGTTATTCTTCGTTATTCTTCGTTCTAGAAAATCCAGACGATCACAGCGTCGTAGTCGCTCGACGAGAGGCAATCGGAGAATGGTTGAGAAACGTTATACGAAAGACGTTCGCCTGGCAGCATACCGATATCAATTATGAAACAAAGATGTTACTCTTACTATCCGGTATGTATGTACGTACGTATAGTAGACGTAGAAGGGAAAAGTAGACATCAAGTCGTCATCTTTTCTATAAAAGCATTCATTCTTTCCATTTCCATTTCCGTACAAAATGAGAAACTGTAAGAACCGAAGAATTTCAATTTTTTCCTTTCTTTTCGATCGATTTTCCACTCGGCGTGGATCAACGCTCGCGGCACCAAACGACGAAAGCTTTCGAATTGGAAGAGGCGTGTAAAATCGCGCGAGAAGCGGGCGATCACTGTTTGGCACTGTTGATGGCGCAACTATGCAGCGGAATGCCTACGAAGGAAATAATAACGCAACAGATTAAATTGTGGAAACATGCCGGTGTCGACGAGAATATCTCGCTAGATCGATTAAAGCTTTTCGCACTGGTGGCGGGTGAACCATTCGTGCACACGAAACACGGCCCGATCAACGTTTGCGAAGGCTTCGACTGGAAGAGAGCGTTGGCTGTTCATTTGTGGTAGACAATCTTTTTTCTCTTTCTAGATTATTACTAGATTGTTTGAAACGCGTAAACGCAAACGTACAATATATAGATAGATCGTCGCTCGTGACGCTGATCGCATCATCGTTTTATCGTTATTGCGTATCATTATTTGCGCAGGTATTTTTCATCGCCGACTGCCTCGGTAAGAGATACGTTAGATCGTTACGAGACGTATTTCGAGACGAGCAGCAATACGGCGGCGTATATTTACACGACGTCGATACCGAGACCCGAGTACAGAGGGGGGGACGACTTGGAACTGGAAACGAGCGAGAATTGCAAACGAATATACGATCTGTGTTTCCATCTGTTGAAGTTATTCTGCACCGGCAGTCATACATTGGGAGAGCTGTTGAATCCAGCGACGCACACTGCCGATCCCTTGGACTACAGACTCAGGTATATATCTCTCCTCTTAAAATCGTCCGAGGTCGATCGTTTCGACGACGAACTTTTATTCGATTCGTAACCTGACGACGACTGAATTCTTTGTCGACAGTTGGTTGATGCAGCAAGTACTCTCGTCTTTGGGTTATTCTCACCTTTCGGAACACGTTGCCATCTTGACGCACGTTAATTTCGCGACGCAGTTGGAGGCCTACGGTCTTTGGCACTGGGCCATATTCGTAATGTTACATCTGAAGGATGCTGGAAAAAGGAAAACTGCGGTGACGAATTTGTTACAACGTCACATCGAGATAGACGATACCGGCGATTCGATCGAGCGAGAGAAATTTTTACGGGAAGAGTTGGGTATACCCTCCACTTGGATCGATCGTGCCAAAGCCGTGAAAAGTTACGTAGCCAAAAGGTTGGTACAGCTGCAGCCGTACGTTCCATGTATCTGTATCTGTATCGATGATGTCTGTATCTGTACATCGATCAGAGACAACGCTGTTCCATACGTACCACGTATGGAAACGCGTGCAACTGCACAGCTTTCACACTCTGATTGTTTCACGCGCTAATCGAGCTCGGCATCTGCGGTGCAATCTGTCGCGGAAAAGCAAGCGTGTGAAACGTCATCGCGCGTCGTACGAAAAAAATAAATCAGACTTTCAAAGAAATAAAAGAAATTTAGCTTTCCCCTTGAATCAATATCAAGCATCACGTAGTAGCGCTAAAGCTAATTTCTCACAATTCACAGATACGGGAAAGCAGCTATTTATTTCATCCGAGCGGAACAATGGAACACAGCTCACGAAATTATCATCGAACATTTGGCAGCCGATGTTATAATAAACGATACTTCCGGTACGTTTCTTCCGAGGTAACACACACACAC